GCTATAATTTAAGGTTCGAGTATTTTATTTTTCAAGGGCATTTTAGTAAAAGTAGTACCCGGCCGGGTTAGGGTGTTTCATTATACTTAGAGACTCTAGATGGTTCCCTCATTGTGATAGGACAATAATTGTAGTTGATTGCACCATAAAAATACAACTTCATTAAGAAGGAACGAGGAGCGGACAAATTTGAGAGGGGGTACCAAGATGTCGAGCAAGTTGAAGAGGAACAATATGATCCGGATGAGTTTGAAACCATTGTTGTCGATGATGTTCATGCTTGTCATGCTTGGACTCATTGCAGAGATGATCTAGCGAAGGAAATGTGGGAAAGTGGCCTTACAAGCCAGCTGTTCCAGCCATACCATCTGTTTGATTTTGCTGTGTGAAAAAGCGACCAACAGAAGGTCCATTTTGTTTGTAGTAATGTCTTTTGTGAGTTTAATTTTGATTGGTTTTTTGAGCACCATGTATGCTTTAGATTAAGCTAATTCCAAAGCAACCTATATGCTTTGTGGAATGTTAAACAACCTGTATGTATGGACCCAAGTAATGTGGCGTGTATTGACTCTTTGTTGTACATGCATTTATTGTTTTGAAATTGTAGAAAGATTCACCAAACAAGACCTTGATATGTTATGTTGGTATTCACCATTTGGAGTGGCTGGTTAGTTAGGTAGTTATGTTGCTGCATCTTCATTGCTGCTGCTTCCTGCTTGATCGTGTATGTTGTTGCTTCACCTAATGCTTTTACAAACCATAAACGCTTTACTTCCTATCAAACAACATAAATGTTGATGCCTCTCTTCCATAAATGATGTTGCCTACCTTTTAATATGTAATTGTGTGTTTTTGAAAAAAATGCAGACTCGTCCATCCTTCAAAAACTATAGAGACATTCCATTCCCTCAGTTTTGGGACTTGGTGGTTGTGTTCGGTAAGGGAGGAGCGACTGGTGAGATGGGGTTCCAGGGAGCTTATGGGAACTTTCAGCTAAGTTCTGATGATGAAGTGGACCCTGACATACCTGTGTTTAGGGGTGGAAGTTTTGTTTGCGGATTGCGGATAATCCGCAAACCGCACCAAACCGCATACATTGTGGGTAACCATACCCACAATTTGTGGATAGTGGGTTGGGTGTGGGTAGCAAAATATTGATTTTTGTGGTTAGTGGTTAACCACTATCCACAGCGGTTAACCCACAAAACCCACAATAACCACACTAAGTATATTTATTTATTAATATACTTTGTAATATTAAATTATGTGAAAAGTAGAATGCTACAACTTAAAGTAGGCTCCAAAATCAAATATATATTTATTTAATAAAACAAAACCAAGCCAATACACCGTGTTCGTATGATATACTTTTATTAAATAAGCATTGTCCACGGGGTATATGTTTATTTTATAACAAAATAAAGCCAATAGATATGGTTTATAGTTTATTTAACACTTTATTAACTTTCTTTTATGTAGACTTTTGTTTTTGTGTAAGAGGACGCTAATTCCGCAACTTGGGAGAGAATTCTATTTATCCCTAAAAGTTCGAATAAAAAAGCAAAGGAGTCATGCCGTTGATAAAGATGCAATCTATATTTAGATTAGATCCCCTCCAACCCATACACGTTATCAATATGCATTCCTAAAGAAAGTAAGCGAGTGAAGTGAACAGAGGAGAGGAAGGTTGACTACTTAGGAGGTTCCGAATACCGTACCCTCGCTCGTTCCATGTCTTGGGCTTCTTTACTTAGTTTTAACTCAATGTGTTTTTTTCCTTCACTCGACCGATAGGTTTATCATATACGAGTCCAAAGGGTGAAAGAAGGAAAGTTTTTGTGGGTATCCACATCCAACCCGCACCAACCCGCAGTGGATAGTGGTTAACCACTACCCACTGTGGGGCGGGTTGTGGGTAACATAATTATATATTTGTAGGTGTGGTTACCCACAAAATATGGGGCGGGTAACCAAACTCACCCCAATTTCCACCCCCTACCTGTGTTCCAAATGAATGATCCTCTTATGGAGGAAGCTATGTTCGAAATCATTAATGAAGGGGTGGATGAAGCTTCGGTTAAGAAGAAGCAACCAACATCAGCTCCACCTAAGAAGAAGAAAGTATAATCAGATGACCGTATCACAGAGGTTACAGATGGGATGATAGGGATGCATCCACTAATAAAGGTATCAATTGATACCATTGCAAGAGCCATGGGTGAGAGTGAGTAGCATATCACGATGTATGCAAGTTTGATGAATACTCTCAAGAAGTTGAAGGGGATAACAAAGGCACAAAGGGTGTTGGCTTATAGGAGGCTTTGCAAGGACCGAGGGACCTCAAATGTTTTTATGATATGGAGGACGATGAGGGTAGGCTCACTCTTGTCCTTGATTTGCTCGATAAGTGATATGCAGTAGCACTATAGTTATGACTAAGACTTGTGTACCCGTATGTTAATATCATTTTAGAAGATCAAGCTACTGAGATTTTCATTTTTTGTTATCTGTCATTTCAAGGTAAAGCTTTCAATAATATTTTGTAAAGCTTGTTTTTTGACTAATGTTTGTAAGTAGCAAACTCCTATGACGGTTGTAACTGCTGTTTGTGACTGATCTTTGTAAGTAGCAAACTTCTATTGATAGCATATGCACAGGGACAACTAACTTCAATTACACAAGCAACATAAGCTCCATTTACTAGTAATTAATAGTTACAAACACAATTGCAATTTGCAAGCACAGATCCAACAGCTACAATTACACAAACACAACAGAAGTCTGCAGAAACACTTACAACATAGGAAATCTCCTAAGTACATAATATATAAGCAATAAGCTACTTCATCACTCATCCAAGCCAATGAACTTTTCAAATCGAGACAATCTTCTTTCCACTGTCGCCAGAACTTTGGACTCCACTGGGGGTTTGGTTGAGCTGCTTGAATAAGGTGGTATGACCCATGAATCATGTTTTTTGCCAAGTTTTACAGCTAGCAACCTCTTCTCATCCTCTAGCTCAGCAACTCTAATCTTCAAATTGACAATCATCTTATACAAATCAACATCATCGGTACCATTTGAACAAGTCAAAATATATTTGTAAGCAAAAACATAACACGATTTTATATTAACTCCTTTGTTCTGCATCAGTATGCACCCTCTTATATATTTGAATCGACCTACTAATTCGAACATATGCCAACATACCCTTACACATACACAATTTGTCAGTTATTCTTTGTCTAGAACTGAACTCTTAGCTGACTCACCTCTGTTGGGTAAAGCAGGTAGGAATAGAATTTCCTTTTGGGATTGGTTGAGGTATTTGAAGTCCGAACGACTGCTTTTATCCAACAACCACATATCTTTTCTTTCCTACTATTTGTGGCTGCCATCGACCTGGTGTCCTCGATAAGAGAATTGAAAGAACTCAACTTTGTGATGTTGCTATCTTTGTAGGAAGAAGCTGTCGACGGAGAAGAGTTGATGGAGTTTCGACGGAGAAGAGTGGACGGGGGAGTGCAGGCGAAGAATCGAAAGATGGATGAGAGTGAAATTTTTCCGTTTAGGATGGGCAAGGAAAGAGGGACGGGCAATGAACCCTTCTTCTTATTCATTAACTTAGGGCGTTTTTGTACTTTTCCACTAAAAGCCAAAAAATACAACACATCCAATTTCCACACACTATCTCCTAACCAAACATGGAAGTTGTTCGCTACATCAGCACTTAGGGGTAATTTGGATAAGGGATTGTAGTGAGGAATTTAAGAGTAATCTTAAAGCAATCACTCATTATATAGGATTTTAAAACAATCATGCGTTTAGATAGATACAAGCTTTTTACAATTAAGAATTTTAAAAACCCTCAAATGTGGGTTTTTAAAATAGCTGATGACCATAAGCTATTTCACAATCTCTCGTTATTTGCCTTTCTTTTCCATAACTATCCCTTTCCCCAACCTAACTCTTTCTATCTCGTCCTTGCCCAATTCTTCTGTTCCTTCCAAATCGCATCGATCGTTGTTTCGGCGCCGGCTATAGATTTTGTCACGGGATGCTTGCAATGGCGGCGACGCCTGCTTCCATTCCTTCTTCCCTCCTCCACCGCTATGAAAACTTACAGTTCTCTATTAGCTATGCCATCAATGGGACACGCTAATGGTGGAATTTATCATGGTGGCGGTGACGGGCTAGGAGGAGACTAAGGAAAGGGTCCGGATGGATGGGAGAGAGAAGGGGACGAGGTGGGATGAATCAACCCTTCAGTTCTGCCTGTTCGTCTGGTTTGTAGGAATCTGGGTTCCTGTTAGTTGATTTGGAATAAGGGATGTGCGAATCATAAGAAGAACCGAAACCCCCGACCACACTATTCCTCACAAAACTCGTCAATGAAACCAGCTCTCTCTCCTAGCACATGCAACCTCTCTGATTGGTGGTGATTTTGAGTCTCGATTGGTGGGTACTGGGTTGAGACTTGGCGGTGGTGGCTGAAAATGAGTGAAGGGAACTTGGTGTTCTATGTTTTGCAACCGTTCATCCTCTATGGTGCCAGTAATTGAAAATCAAATGGCGGTTGGAGGGGAGACGAAAGGAGCACCGGAGTTTGTATTTGGGTGAATTGATTATGTTCTCATTCTTACACACAAATTAGAAATCAAGTGATTTGCTTCACGGTGTACGCGGGGAAGGAGAAGTAGAGGTTTGGTGAACAGAGTAATGAATGAGGAGCAGAGGGAATGAGAGGGAGACAAGAAAAATTTCTAGGTTTGGGTAAGGTTGTGCAGCGCCGGCCATGGAGGAGGAGTAGAGGAAGAAGACGATAGATAGGAAGAAAGGAAGAAGAAGGGTAAAATTGAACTATTAATTTTTTTTTATTAAAATTCTGGATCCATAACCAAATGGGATATTTTTTCCAAATCCTACAAATAAATATACAAGTTTTTTAAACGAGAGATTTGGGCCCAAATCACTAATTATTAAAAACTCTCATCCAAACGACCCCTTAAAGGAATTCATTAACAGAGTTGGATGGATACGAACGGAGAGTGACCAAACGTAAACTATTTAACTAATCTCAGTGACCATGAATAAATAAATATTTATTAGTGACCAAAGGTGATTTGTTTTAGTAATCTCAATGACCAAACCTACAATTTACCCTTATAGAATATGCAATGAGCCGAGCTAAGCCGAGTTTTACCCCAGCTTGAGCTTGACTCGTTAACAAATGAGCTGAGCTCGAGCTCGGGCCATTTATTAACGAGCCGAGTTCGAGTTAGACTTGTTTACTAAATTCTTAGATCGTATTTGATACATTCATTTTGTATGTCGTGTATGGTACATGTGATTGATGTAACGATTAAAAAAATAATCAAATGTTAACATTAATTAATCTTATATTATAATTTGTAGGTGTCATATTGTTTAGTTAATAAATTTTAACTAGTTCAAATCATGTTATTTCATAGTATCGAAATAATTTTGTACATAATTTCTTTACGGAATTAAAAATTAGGCATATTTTCTTACATGTTCAACATGTTAAACTTCACATGATGTGAGATATATAATTTAACAATCCTATGAATTATGAAAGTCCAAACTAGATCGATTCATCCATAAGTCGGTGATCAAGTTGGCCCTCAAACCACAATGTTGAGACATCTCATGAGCTCTAAATGAGCCAATTCACGAGTTGAGCTCAACAAGCCAAAGTCGAGCTAGCTCGCGAGCTGAACAAGGCTAAGCTCAAGCTTGGCTCGTATTGACAGTGTTGAGTGGAAAACCCTAAAACCTGGGTTGCATCTTGCATTAAGATGAATATATATGTGGGTTTTGCCACTACAAGTTAAGGATCAGCTGGCTGTCCTTTTACAGAAGAGTGAAATGTAAAAAGGAATTGCAATAGAGGAAAAATACAAAAGGGACTATTCTGTCGGGATATGTTCTGCTGTGTTGTTTAAAGTAAAGTCGGCTTGACTCCTTGTACGATGTCGCTCCATGTGGGTTGTCTTCTTACTGTGTGCGTAACGGGTGGCTTGGTCTAAGAAGAGCTGGATGTGAAATTTTCAATTTCTGCTGTTACCCCCCCCCCCCCCCACCAAGCGGGTGGCCAGAGAGTCTAGACACCGAGCTTGGATAGAAGAAAACTGAAGGTTGTTGGAGGAAGAGGTTTGGTGAAGAGATCTGCGAGTTGATGAAAGGTCGAGACATGAAGGAGTTTGATGACTTTGGATTGTAGCTTCTACCGAACCAGGTGGCAATCAATTTCTATATGCTTTGTTTGTTCATGAAATGTGGGGTTTCTTGCGATGTGTAGGGCCGATTGATTGTCACAGAAGATGGTAGCATGTTGTGGATGAGGCACTCTGAAATAAGAGCCATTGTACTTCACAGGATGTGTAGGCTAGGGCTCTGTACTCTGCTTCACAAGAAGATCGAGAAACAGTATGTTGCTTCTTGATCTTCCAAGAGATAAGAGAATCTCCTAGATAGATGCAGTAGCCTGTGATTGAGCGCCTTGTGTCTAGGGAAACAGTCCAGTCTAAATCACTGTAGCCCTTGAGATGAGGTGATGATGAGCTGGAGAAGAATAAGCCAGAGTTAGGAGAGGGTTTTAGATATCTGAGCACACGAAGAGTGGCTTTGTAATGGGATTCATTTGGAGATGCCATAATTGATTGAGCTGCTAGGTGGAGAAGCTGATGTCAGGTCTGGTTGTGGTGAGATAAATCAGTTTCCCCACTAGTTTTCTGTATGTTGCAGCATCAGTGAGAGGGTGATCAGGAGCAGTAGAAAGATGAGATTTGTAATCCATTGGTGTGGATGCAGGGTGAGATAGCAGCACACCAGCTTCCTCTAGTATCTCAAGTGTATATTTCCTCTGATTGAGATGAATCCCGTGAGACTTCCAGTCCTAGGAAGAATTTAAGGTTGCCAAGATTCTTGATACCAAAATCATGATGAAGATGATCCTTGATGTGAGTGATTTCAACAAGATCGGACCCTCCAATGATTAGATCATCCACATATATTAGGATGCATGTATATGATGTTGGAGTGGTCTTGAAGAAAAGGGAGTGATCAACTTGGCTTGATTGGTAGCCCTGAGATTGTAAGCTGACAGCAAGCTTAGCAAACCACTGTTGAGGAGCCTGCTTTAATCCGTAGAGAGATTTCTTGAGAAGAAAGACTAGATTTGGGATATCAGATGGTGGGGTGTACCCTTTTGGAAGCTTCATGTAAACTTCTTCACGGAGATCTCCATGAAGAAATGCATTGTTCACATCAAGTTGTTGAACAATCCAATTCTTAGCTGCTGCAATGGCCAAGAAGAGTCTCACTGTTGTCATTTTAATGACAGGGGCAAAAGTATCCTGATAATCGACCCCTTTGCTACAAGTCTGGCTTTTTCTCTTTCAAGACAACCATCAGAGAGGAATTTTAACCTAAAGATCCATTTGTTTCCAATGGCCTTTTTCTTTGGTGGAAGTGAGTCAACATCCCATGTTTGATTTTAGATAAGTGCTTTGATCTCAGATTGAACTGCATTGTCCCATTCTGGACTGAGAATGGCCTCCTCATAGGTCTTTGGTTCCTTGTAAGAAGATATGCTGAGTGCATACTTCTGGTGTGGGAGAGATAGTGTGGAGTAATCAAGGAAAACAGACAAGGTTGCAGAATTACTTGATTGTGAAGACTCAGTAGAGTGACTAGTGGAAAAAGACTATTGGAGCAGGTTGCAATGGTATGGTTATAGTCTGGCAGGTTGTTTGATTTGTCTGTGTGGTTTTCTAATTGCAATGGGAGATTGGAATCAAGGGATGGAGGATGTGGGGTTGAAGGGTGAGGTTGAGTCTGGCTGGTAGGTGGGGAAGGATGATGTTCAGGTGGATTGATAGAGGATGATGAGGTTCATGGTCATCAAGAAAGGGGAGTGTTGTGTATAGAGGATTGTCAGGGGTGTCTATGTCTTGCTGTAGGTGATGGGAGGGAAATTTATCCTCATAGAAGTGGACATATCTTGAAATGAAGATCATAGATCTTGTAACCCTTGATGTCACTGGGATAGCCAAGAAAGACCCCTTTTCTGGCTCTGGCCTGGAACTTTGTTCTATGGTTGCTTAGGGTGGAGGCAAAAACAAAGACACTCAAAGACTTTGAGGTCTTTCAGATAAGGTGGCGTTTGATGAAGCTGTTGATAGGGTGTGATGTCTCCTAGAATTGTTGTGGGGACTCTGTTGACTAAAAAATACAGCATGCTTAACACACTCACCCCAGAATCCTATAGGTAAGTTGGACTGAAACTTTAGAGCTCTGGCAATGGCCAATATATGTTGATGTTTTCTTTCGACCTTACTGTTTTGTTGTGGGGTTTCAACGCATGACATCTCATGAATGATGCCAGTGGAAGCAAAGAAATTTGTCATAAGGAACTCTTTACCCTGATCACTCCTGATTTTTTTGACAGAATGATCAAACTATTTTTTTAGCAAGTAGGCAGAATTCCTGTAGTCTAGGACCTACTTCTAATTCGGAATGAAGTAGAACAAGCCAGGTCATTCTTCTGAAATCATCTATTATGGTAAAAAATATTTATAAACATCAAAAGTAGGAGAAGAGTTGGGTCCCCAAATGTCAACATGCATTAAGTAAAAAGTAGGGATGGCCATTCGGTTATCGGTTGCTGGTTAACCGTCGGTTAAACCGATTACCATCGGTTAGCCGGTTAACCAAAAATCCAACGTGTCGGGCGGTTGTCGGATGAGGCTTTTACTGTGTCGGTTGACCGGTTAACCGGCTAACCGAAACAAAAACCCCCTCCGCGTTTTACCCCCCAAAACGCCGCCGCCCACCCTTCTTAAGTTCCTAACCCTAACCTAATCCAGACCACCAGACCCGCCCGGCCGCCCTTGCTGGCTGCTTCGACTTCGCGAATCCTTCCCAGTTCCCACCCATCTCGTTCTCTCCTCTGCCGCTCTGCGAAGCAAAGAACCAGAGACGCCGGAAAACAACGTCGCTGCCGCCAGCCCCCTTCTTTGCTGCGCGACCTCGCCTCAGCGCCACCATCGTCCATCGCCTCGACATCCTCTGCTCGCAGCCTTGCAGTCCTCCTCCTCTCGTGCGTCATTGTCTCTGTGCGACCCCACCCCCGTCGAGAGCTCTGCCGCCGCCCTTCCCGGCGAACAATGCCCCTGCAGGCCTGCAGCGCCATATCCCTCCTCGAATAGCGCCCCTGTTGGCTGCTACTGTAGAGCCAAATTATGCAAGTTTTTAACCTATTTTTTTCCATTTTTGATACTTCATCAGTTCATTGTTGATGTTGAAATGGGGATTTGGGTTTTCATTTGAGACACACACTTGTCGTTTAGGATTGTCATGGTCTGTGTTGTGCGGTTTGCTCGGTTAACCAACCAACTAACCGGTAACCGACCGGTCGGTGGTCGGATAATCGAGGAAGGCTGTTGATCGATTGGCGGTAGCATTTCCATGCGTCTCAGTTAACCGGTAACCGACTGTTCGGTTACCGGATATAACCGAAAAAACCAAAATCCAACCCTAGGAAAAAGGTTGAGTAGAAACAGTTGAACTGTCTGGAAAAGGAAGCCTCATTTGCTTAGCAAAGTGGCAAACATCACAAGGTATGGAGTTGTTTGTATCTATGGAGTTACATATCTGTTTCAACTTCGGAATCTTAAAGTGAGAGACATGGCCTAATCTAATATGTCAAAGCTATTTGCAGTAGTAGTAGAGGCTATGACAGGCTTAGGGTTACTGGTTGCTCCTAGATGGGTCATGTGGTAGAGGCCATGAGAATCTCAGTAGAATCAGTTATTCTCCTGAGCTCCATATCTTGTATTATGTAGAGATCAGAAAAGAAAGTTAAGCACAAAGATTTGTTTGTGGTTAACTTGCTAACTGATATGAGGTTGAATGTGAATTGGTGGACAAAAATAACTGCTTCAAGTGTGAGATCTGCCATTGATGTAACACTACCAATATGGGTAGCTTGAACTTTAGCACTAGTAGGTAAATTGATGAAGACATTATGCAGATTGCTGGGATTTTCTAGTAGACTGAGTGAGCAAACAATGTGGTTTGAGGCACCAGTATCTAGTATCCAGATGGTGCTGGAAGGTGATCTACCAGATGCATTTAGAGAATGTTTACCTGAGGGCCCCTCATAGGAATGGAAAGCAGCTGTTGTATGGGAAGTGTGCTTCTGTGAATATTTCTCTTTGAGCATAGCCATGAATCTGTCATAGTCTTCAGGATTGGCAGAGCTGGAAGAAGCTGCAGTGGGGCTAATGAAGGCAGGAGCTTGAATCCTCATTTGGGTTGAATTGGTGGTGGCCTTGGAGTTTCCAGATGAGGGCCAACCATGCTTGTGAAAGCATCTGTCTTCAGTATGACCCCTTCTTTTGCAGAAGGTACATTCCATAGCTTTACTGTGAGTGTTTGGATTAGGACCTCGTGGAGTCATCCCAGGAGGCTAGCCATGTTTGTGATAACAAACATATTCAACATGTTCATTCCTTTTACAGTATGTGCAGTAGAGACGTTTTCCTTGTGAACCTTGAGCAACTAGGATTATAGATTCATAAGCTAGAACCCTACTATGTTGAGACCCAAATTGTTGTCTTTCATGTTGAAGTAAACACTGAAAGACTTTGTCAATAGAGGGTAAGGTGTCTCCAAAAAGAACTTGGGATCTCACTGTGGAGTAGTTATCATTCGAACCCCTAAGGAACTGGATAACATAGTTGGTCTCTCGGTAGTGAAGAACTAGTTTCAGGGCAATGCAGGTTTGATGACTGGTTGTGGTTCAAGCACATGGTTCGATGGATTGATAGCCATCTAACTCATCTTAAATGGAAATGAAATGACCATAGTACTCATTAAGAGTTTTATTACCTTGCTTGAGACTGGAGAGAGATTCAATTAGGTGTGCAACTCGAACAATGTCTCCTTGACCGTATCGAGCTTTGAGGCTCTGCCAAGCTTCAGAGGCGAGCTTGAGTGACATCAATGTCTTGCGAATACCTGGTTCAACAGCCCGTTGAATCCAGCTGAGAACCATAATGTTGTTTCTTGTCTAGGACCACTGAAGAGGATCTGTGCTTGTTGTTGGAGCGGTGATGGTGCCATCAATGAAGCCGACTTTGTTTTTCGCTCCAAGGGTTTTGTACATCGTCTTGCTCCAGTCATTGTAGTTGGTGGGGGTAAGCTTTTATCCGACCAACAAGACACTAGGTTGTTCAGAAGCATGTAAGAAGTAAGGATCCGCGATGGGATCAACTTGCTATTGACCCATGGCAAAGAAATTGTAGAGGCGACTAGAGTTAAGGCTCTGATACCATATTGACAGTATTGAGCGGAAAACCCTAAAACCTGGGTTGCATCTTGCATTGAGATGAATATATATGTAGGTTTTGCCACTACAAGTTAAGGATCAGCTGGCTGTCCTTTTACAAAAGAGTGAAATGTAAAAAGGAATTGCAACAGAGGAAAAATACAAAGGGACTATTCTGGCGGGATTTGTTCTGCTGTGTCGTTTAAAGTAACAGCCGGCTTGACTCCTTGTACGACGTCGTTCCATGTGGGTTGTCTTCTTACTGTGTGCGTAACAAGTGGCTTGGTCTGAGAAGAACTGGATGTGAAATTTTCAATTTCTGCTGTTAGCTCGTTAGTAAACGAGTCGAGTTTCGAACGAGTTTTTCCCGATTCGAGCCTCGAGTTGCTCGCAAATAGCTCGGTTCATTTTCAGCCCTACATAAAACGTACCAAACATATTAGATTCCGATTCATGGCTCCATATCAATGTGGCAACCTTTAATAATACACGGTCCAAACGAGCCCGTAAGTATTTATTTTCTTTTTCCATGTCACGTCATGGTTTGTTGCCATTCACCATCGGTATTCTGTCATCAATGACTTACAGTTTGGCCTCTCTCTTACTTTAATTTGAAACCCTTTTCTCTGCCCTCTCTCTTCTCGGTTCCATTTCCTCAAGTTTTCAGGGGCTGCCGCCGGCTCCTTTTGGTGACCGGCGGATGCTCAATCCCCTCATTTGCTCCTGTTTTTTCCTCTTAAGTGTGCATGCTTCTCCTAGCTTTGCTCTAGGTGATTTTCCTCTGGATTCCAGTTTTTCTCCAGCCATTGTGGCCTTTCAGGTTCCTTTCCAGTCGAGCTTTGTCTCTTCTTTTCCCGTCGAGCTTTGTCTCTTCCTTCGGTTCTTGGTTCTTCTGTTCTAGGTTTGCTCGTTGTAGGATCCAGAGTTTGCAATTTGGATACCTGTTCCAGATCTGGATGGTGGTGTTTTCCCCAGGTTGGTGGTCTCGTCTCTTGGTGAAGCCATTCTTTTCTTTCCCAATCCGATCTTCCCTTTGTGTCTGTGTTGTTGGGTGAGTCGTCGGATCATGGAGGGTTGGGTCTTCTCCGGTGGTTGCGGTTGGGTATCGGTGTTCTCCGTGGAGATTTGTGGCTCTCTTGGGACCTTCTCCTCTACTTCAAACCTGATGTCTGTGCCTCAGCTTCCTCTGCCTTTTCAGTTTGGAGCAATCCGTTTCAAATCCTCATCCACTGCCATACAATCTTGTTTCTAGGATTCACTGTGATGGGTGCCTTTGAGTTATCCCCAGGAGGCGACTTATGGTTTGATGTGATCAATTGCCATGGATTTCGATATGATCGTACAAACTGATTTCGATCTTGTTGCATTCTAATTGATTGGTTGCAAGAGAGATTTCTGATGTTCTGTTCTCTTTCAAGGGTCTTGTTCAGATGGGTGGCTGCTTTTATTCCGTGTTGTGCTCTCTGTTGTTGCTTTTACTTTTCATGGTTTGATTGTAACCGGCTCTCTTAGCCTTTCTCTTGTTGAACGAGAATGTTGGTTCTTTGTCTCTCTTTGTAAGAGACTAATTAAAGTGCAATAAAGATACTCCTTTGTAAGGAAAAAAAAAACATCGGCATTCTGATTTTTGACTGTCTTGCAGCTTCTCTCAAAATTTTCAGAAGTGAAAACGTGGAAACTGGAAAGACGACACCCAACTCTTCCTTGGCAATAACACAAACAAAGAAGACGTACGAACTCAGAGACTCCCTGGATATGGAGGAGCCACACGAGACTAACTGAAGGCTTAACCAAACGAGCCGGAATATATTGTCCTCATCGGCCGTTGCCTTCCCCGGATTCAGTCTCCTGTGACCCCTCCCTTTCTCTCCTCCGTCTCTTCGCGGTCGTGAAGAAGGGAACACCAGCAAGCACGAAATTCGAGTCGAGGAAGGGAAAGATGTGGGTCTTTTACCTGATCTCGTTGCCTCTAACCCTAGGTATGGTCGTCTCTACGTTGAGATACTTCGCCGGGCCAGAGGTGCCGCGTTACGTTCTCTTCACTGTCGGATACACCTGGTTTTGCTCCCTCTCCATCATCATTCTCGTTCCCGCAGATATCTGGACGGTAATTCTCTCTTAGCATGTTTATTTTCTCTGTGATTCGTCACTTGCTTCATCTACGAAGGTTCTGCGTCTTATGTTTGTGCTGGAATTCGGAATTGAATTGAGATTAGTTGCTGTGAACAATGTAGTCTAGCGGAAATTTGAGAGAGAACGATTGGGATCTTTTACTAGGGACGAATGCCTTCTATTCCTTTGTAGGAGATGGTCTTGATCCTAGGTGAATCTACATGTTTGTTCTCAATTTGGCAACTCCTTGTTTTCCTTCAAGATAGCCAGCATCTTGTCTAACTGATGGAATTAAAGCATTTCCTGTCTGCTGATTTCATTGGCTTGGGTTTTGTTAACATGCACGGTGCTTTTCGTATGTTCACAGACTATGTTTGGGTTCGAAACAGGCGCAATCTCTTTCCTCTGGAGCTGGTCGTATTGGAGTTCTTTCTTACTTACTTGGTACGTTGAATCCCTCGGATCCGTTTTATGCATTTACCATACTAATGATGTTTGGAAGTCGGTTGCATCAGCTAAAGAAGCTAAGTCTTCCTAATTCTGCCTGGCTTTGTATTCAGTTCTCGTACTTCTCTATACGTATTTGAGTAGGGTATAGCTGATTGAGGCCAATAACTATCTCTCACTATTAGCTTTCTGAGTATGACTCCTTTTTCTTCCATGGGAAAGAATACAATTAGTCGTGGAAGTAAGTTTATGTAATCATGTAACTGTTGTACTTGTACTAGACTCATGGTTCAAAAAGGCACGCTTAATCTTACGCTTAGGCACGCCTAGGCGCAAGGCAATGACAAAACGCTTCGCCTAGGGATTTCGTGCCTAATTAGATACTGGAACAGGTTAATGGAGTACGGCGACATATAAGTCTCTCCTAAACATTACTAGATGGAGCTAAGAAGCCAATATTAAATACCAAAATTAACATCAACTATGAAATCAAGTTTCTGTTGCAATTTTTTCAATAGCTCAAGAACTTTGTGAACTATTGAGCTATGATTCTATGAACTCATTAGCTATATTCCTGTCATTAAGTGTTGAGTAAGTTATTAATCATTTTAACTGAAGTGAGGAAGTGTTGTAGATTATTATTTCATTCATCATGCACTGCGAATAACTATTTTCTTCCAACGCCTAGGCACGCTTAGTCAACTCCTAGGCGAGCTAGGCGCAAGGCAAAGGCTCAACGCCCGCCTTACGCCTAGCGCCTTTTTGAACCTTGCTAGACTTGCTCTCTGTCTGATTATTCCCAGCCCTTCTCAAATGTTATCCTATTGATATGTATGAGACACTAGGGATGCATTTGATGATATTGATCATTTTCAACAATTCGTTGTCCAGAGATGAAACTTTATCGTATTTAAAGCTGTTTGTTTTTAATTTCTACACAGGGGTATAGTGCCCCTTATTCAGGGTTTCGAAGATGCTGGAGACTTTACTATGACTGAAAAGTTGAAGACCAGCATACATGCTAACTTAATCTTCTATCTGATTGTTGGATCTGTTGGCCTCTTTGGACTTATTCTTTTGATAATGATGGACAAGATAAGGTACCTTTCTTCCCCTTCTTTCTCTCGAGCTGGTTTCGGAGAATCTCATTATGGAAAGTCTTGTGATATTTTTGTGGTTGTAACTGGGATTGAATCTCTACTGGTATAAGCATGTGGTATGCTTGTGTTTCAATTGCTCATTTCTTGTTGGTTTCTCATTGGCAGGACTAATGGTGTGCTTGGTTTTGCTATGGCGTGCTCAAATACTTTTGGACTTGTGACAGGTGCATTTCTTCTTGGTTTTGGTTTGAGTGAGATTCCAAAGACTCTGTGGAGAAACGCAGATTGGACTATACGACAAAAGGTTCTTTCTCATAAGATTGCAAAAATGGCTGTGAAACTTGATGATGCCCATCAGGAATTTTCCAATGCCATTGTGGTGAGTGTTACTCCTTTTGGAAGACAGTATAAGAGATACATTCCTATGTCTGATTATTCAAGAATTGAGCACTTAAGTCTTAAAGATGCTGTTTGCAGTCATTATTTTGCTTTGTTATATTTAGCAGTTCAGAGGTTTTTCCACTGTTAATCTCTCAGTTGGCCAGCAACCTTTCTCCGATGGCCAATTCATGTTTGTCTTTAAGTCCTAGCAATCAACAATGACAAGGCGTATTAAATACTTGTGCAACATTTGTTTTGGATGATTTAGTTTTTCGTAAATTATAAAAGAAAAGTAAACTGTTATAGGATTTTCCTTTTTACTTAATAAGTTTCCAAAAGGTCTGCTCTCATTTGCTATGGATAAATTGTGTTCATTTCTTTTGATTTGTATCTCCTGTTTTAGGTCGCTCAAGCAACATCAAATCAGATGTCCAAGCGTGATCCTTTGCGACCCTACATGGATGTCATTGACAATATGCTGGCTCAGCTGGTATAGTTTATCCTCATTTTCTCTCTCTTGATCTGAAATGTGCTGTGCTTGATTCCTGATATTCTTATTCTGTTCTGCAGTTTAGGCAAGATCCATCTTTTAAGCCTCAAGGTGGTCAACTGGGGGAAAATGATATGGACTATGACACAGATGAGAAATCAATGGCAACACTCAGGCGTCATCTTCGACGAGCTCGAGATGAATATTATCGTTACAAAAGGTATATTGAATGTATGGTATATATGAGTGTGATACTTGGGTTCTATCAGGTTATGTATTTATCATGCATTGGACTAAGAGTTGCTCTAATGGGTTGACAAGCCATTTTTTTTCTCCACAACCAACTGCCCCAACCGAATTCTAGAAGGAAAATTTTGGTTTTAGTTCTGTGAAGATCAGGAGGAGAGATAGAATTTCGTTGTCAACAGAGGAACAACTGGTTCACTAGGGTGATAAGGTTTGAGATACTAAGCCTAAGCAACCTTTAGTGGGTAGGCCATAACAAGATGGAATCCTGCCGAGGAAAATCTCTTGAGTTTCAAGAAAATCTTGTCATCCCCTTTAGTGTAAAACATGTGTACTCTTTGTAGGAGTTTCTAAAGGAACCAAATAGTTGAATATTCTTGGTAATTTTCTGTCAATGAAAAAAAAAGTCCTCATACAGAGTAAAGGCCCCTACTATTCTTAGAAAACAGCTTAATGGTTTCTTGCTAACTTAGTTTGATATGCCCAACGAGTTGGTTAGTTGCTTTACTGTTGAAGTTGATGGCCAAAATTTAGAGTTAGCTTTGAATCTGGTTGAATTTATCTGCTTACCTTAAGAATCTAATCTTTTTTCGCGTTGTAGCGAATACATGACATTTGTCTTGGAAGCTCTTGAACTCGAAGATGCAATTAAAAACTATGAACGCAGAAACTCAACTGGATGGTGGGCCTCTTTTATGACCTTGAGTTCTTTACTTGAGGATGTCTCCTATAATCAATTTCGAGTTTCTTTCTCTAACATGCCAATGTGTGAATTATCAGGAAATACATGTCCAGCTTCAGACCTGCTAGAAGTGGGAAACTGGGTTCACTGGTGGATACCATAGGTCAGTATCACTTTTGCATGTGTTTTTGTCCTTTAGGTTTAGACTTATTCCACCAGATAATTGTAATCATGATGGAAAAACTAACGGATTTAGAACTTGCTGGAAGAAAAATACTTAGTAATTACACAGTGTTATCCATGGGGGTAATAGATCTGTAACATGTTTTAATATCCTATTTAGTTATGATGAAATCGATCTGTAGTGTGGACGAGAATAGTCCATGATAATCCTACCGGCGACATGCATGGAGTCGGTTGCTTGGAGTTGCAATCGATTTGGAAAGTTGCGCTGCAGCAGATTGCTGTCACATATCTTGGTTTGCAGAACTTACATTGAGGAAAGGTGTCTTCGTGTTTCCCTAGGGTTAGTTATAACTCGTTCATATGCCACAGCACATTGATCCCCCATAGATATCCATGCGTAACCAACTACTTTTTTCACTCCTGACAGAGTTATGGTCAAAATTCACTGGCAACTCAACAGTACTAATTAACATCAAGCTCCAGCCAGGAATAAGTTCCTATAAAGCAGTGTCTTGGAAACTTCTACAAAGCTACTTGCATTAACTATATAGATTCTAGGCAGTATTCACACTATGTAGGTCTCACCCTTGCTGAGTGCGTCATTGTGAGTTTGACATTCAAAGGAGAGCTCCTGAATGAATTACCTTATACATGATTTTGGTTGTATTAAGTGTTTCTCGTTTCATGTTTATATGAATCCAGAATTTCTTTGGAGATGCGTACTGAGGAAGCAACTTGAGAAGCTCTTGGCTATTATACTTGGCACCATGTCAGCTGCAATTCTCTTAGCTGAGGCAACACTTGTAATTACTGGCGTTGATTTGTCACTTTTTTCTATCCTTATTAAATCTGTTGGACGGCAAGAACTTTTTGTACAGGTACACTCCCTTTGTTCTTGCTTTCATAAACTATATTAAGTTGGGGATGGAGGTTCAGTTCTAGGCTACTGTTTCTTATGTTATTTGTTTTTTTGTTTATGTCCAGGTCTCAGCTCTTGTGCCTTTGATGTATATGTGCATCTGCACATATTATTCATTATTCAAAATTGGAATGTTGATGTTCTACTCACTAACTCCCCGACAAACAAGTTCTGTGAGCTTGCTTATGATATGCTCGTGAGTGTTTCTCAAAGCTATATTGGTCTATGCTGTCCAAAGACGCTCTTTGAACTTGAGAATTTTTTTTTAATTTTTAATTTTATGTTTCTAATTATTTTAATATGCACATTCATCAGGATGGTTGCTCGATATGCTCCTCCAATTTCATACAACTATCTTAACCTCATTAATCTCGGTGATAAGGATACGGTATTTGAAAAGGTAAAATTCTCATTGCTCAATCCTATAAAAGTTCACGAGTATCTTAAGCTTGCTGAAAACGGAATGAGACTAGAGGCATTGTTGTGTACTTTACCTTTTATTAGAAGATTAGGATTCTGTTTTTTGTTCCTGAAAATCGCAAAATGGATCACTGAGGAGGTAATTTGTTATGAATACAATTTGCTGAAATTTGCACTTTTGTCACCTTTGATAGTTTATTCCCTTCTCAAACATTGTTACTTTCTTTGAATTCTTGAATCTTAGTCTGCTTTTCTGCTCACTGTGATTAGTTGTCTTTTGAATCTTCTCCAACTAGAGCCTCCTCAATGAGCTTTGTGATCTTTGTATGCTTTGTAGAAGAGTGATCCCTCTGCTCTTTCTCACTTTCTACTTAAGGTTTATGTACATACTATTACTGACATGGGTCTTGTGCCACGATATGATTGCAGCGAATGGGGAAGATTAATGACGCTGTTCCCTTTTTTGGAGTTGGCTTCAACAGAATCTATCCACTTTTCATGGTTCTCTACACTCTGCTGGTCGCAAGCAACTTCTTCGACCGTTTACTAGGTTTCTTTGGCAATTGGAAGAGGTTTAGGTTTCAAACCGAGGTAGATGATACAGATGGCTTTGATCCTTCAGGACTAATTATTCTTCAGAAGGGTGAGTGCTCATATGTCACTCTTTTATAGAATCAAGAACCCAAATCACTCTGTCCTTCATACGTTTAACTGTATCTCTTGAAACTGGCTATGTTGACTCTTTGCAGAAAGATTGTGGTTAGAACAAGGACAGGGAGTCGGTGAGCATGTTGTCCCACTAGCGAGGAACTTTAACGGCATGGATGTTGAGTCTGCCAGCAACAATATGGTGAACATCTTAACTCAAATGTTAATGATGCTTCATGCTCATATCACTTTGCTTCAGCTTAAAAACAAACTACTTACCATCCCCTATTAATTCTGTTTCAAAATCCAACCAAACACCTATTTTTGTCACGTCTATTAAAACTTGAAACATGTCACATATTTTTAGTATTAGAACAGAAACACCCATGGTTTTCTTAAAGATCTTGTATAAGCAAGATTTATCCCCTGTGCATCTGTTTTTATTGGTATTTAGCTTTGGCAAGTGAATAAAATTGCAGGATAAGACAACGGTGGAAATGAAGTCTTCAAGCAATTTGATCACCGATGACAAAGCGGGAGGTTCATTGAATAGAGTTTCAAAGGAAGAGACTCGTCGATACAATCCGAGCAGAGAAGCTCTTAGCAGTAAGTATGCTGCGGTTAGACAGCAGAGTAGACTTTCCAACCTGAGGCCAGTGGAGAAGAACATAGCTTCCGCTAAGGTGTCATTGCTTGATGCAGGCAACTCAGATTCCGACAACACAACTCGAGGGGGGATGTCTTCATCTTCATCTGGTCTGACTGCTAGGTGGGAGTCAATGAAGAACGGGTTTCAGACCTTCAAAGCCAATATAGAGGCAAAGAGATTTCTTCCTCTAAGGCAGACACATGAACCTTCAAAGCTCGTCTCCCACGATTCATCGCCCGAGAGTCTCGACGAGATATTCCAGAGATTAAAGCGACCGTCCGTTGATGATCCTGGAAGTCTGAGTGGCGAGGATGATGCTGCCGGGACCACCAGATGATTGCAAAATCCACGGAAGCCGAATCCAATGTAGCAACCGAATTTCTGTGCACAGATGAAAAGGTGACTTATCAAACTAATACACAATTTGTTTTCCTTTTTTCACTGGTGTGTCCTTGTAGGCTGTATGGTGGCTGAATATGTCCCGGAAGACCGGAAACAAATGGTAGAGAGAGAAGTTGTAGAAATAGGAGATATTATTTTGCTGTTGAGGAGACCATAGTTGAATTGAATTTTTAGTGTAGAAGGGCAGAGCCAAATTTTGGGGTGATTTGGAAGAGATGTAGCTGTCGGAAACAGGAATGTGGTGGACGTTATTGTAGTGTGTACTGCACGAAAAACATTGTTGTCTGCCAGAGTCTGAAGTCGATATTCCCTTTTTCATGAAATGTTGAATTGACTGGAACCCTCATCTGTGCGAATCTAATACAAGGGTCAGCAGATAATTGTAGGAGTCTTTTCTTTTGTCATGAAGCTTTTCCCTGTAACTGTAACTGTAACCAGACTTAAGGTTCAGGTTGACAGAAACCATTTAGAACGTTTGACGGTTTGGTTTTGGTCTGTAGGGACACGGATTTGGAATACCTTGCACAGCTGCATCGCAGAAACTAGTTGGATTTGGAATACCTTGTCCTTGTCTAGTAACTGGAATGGCCTGGTTCTCGATGCTCAGGTCATTCATTTATTGTTAGATGCTCAGGTCATTCATTCATTTATTGTTTTAAATTAATTTGATCTATGGGTTAAACGAGCTTTTATAGTGTTCTTTCATCAATACGATTGCTGCAAAAAGGAAATCAAAGACAGGCACTTGATGACAGTATGACACCACAGCAGCATAACTAACAAGCCTATGCAAACCTCAGGACTGGCTCGTTTCTTTAGCTCCAACACCACCTTCATTTTCTCAACCAACTCTCTAAAACCTCTATGTAAGAAACCTGCTTATTCAGGGCAATTGATCAAGATTGAGGAGGGAAATTAGGGTTAGGAATTGAGGATTGAGAAGAATTAGGGAAGAAAACTCTCTATCACCATTCACCACCACTGGTGTTGCAAGCCCCCCTCTCTCTCAAACTACTTCTCTGCCTTCTCTCTAATTTTGGCGACCATGAGACTGGTGCTGGCGTCCCTCCGGTGACCGGCTTGTTCCAGTTCAAGATACGATGGAGGTTGGATCTGATACAGATTCGACGTGGCTTCTCCTCTCCATTCCTTTGGTCTACCTCCTTGTTTTGCCTTGCAGTTCTTGACGATCCGGTGATGCAGCCCTTGACGAGGACCCGGTTAGAAGAGCTTGAAGACTGGTGTATTCTAACTCTTTGTTTCCTCCACCTGTTATCCAGTTTCTGTTTGGTTCTCGTGGTGGTTCGCGGGAGTGCACGACAATCGGCTCGGGGTGAGCTGTTCGATGGTGGCTTTCCTCCTCATCTCACCCTCCGGGTGTGGTGGGTAACCGATCCATGGTGTGGCTCGCGATGGCGCTCAATGGGTGGATGGCTGCAATTTGTTAGGTGCGGTGGTGGTGCTCAACCACGGCGGTGGATGAGTTTCAGAGGAGGCACTTAGAGGCTAGGGTTTGGGAGAGACTTAGACTTGTTGTGGCTGCTCCCGGATTTTTCTCTGGGCCACTTTGTTTGGGCTTTTTCCATTCATTTTTTGTTTTGCTTGGTTGTACACTTCCCTCGTGGGATTGGCCAAGTCGTCTATCTTAATGAACACCACTTCCAAAAAATAAGAGAAGAATTATTGAAGGATTGAGAGAAGTAGAGAGATAACCTTTTTTTAGAGATTTCAATAATATTCTTTGCTTAATTTGAAAATACTCTCCAAGGTTTAACTATGCTGCAAACCAAATAAAAAATCAAATCAATACCAACAGCATCGAGCCCCCTCCAACCCGACCCATTCACTAGCGAGTTTCTAACAATCCTCCCCTCTGAAAGACTGATCTTGCTCTCAAGGTCGAATGTTGGGTAAGTCAGACGAATGGTCTCTGTGTCCTCCCACATTGCATCGTCAGCCTCCACGTGCTACCAGCGAATAATACTTTCTTCCAACAGCTTCCCTCCCCATCGAATCCACCTGGTCTCTTACAGTTCTTCCATTGTCAACTCCAACCCTACATCCTCATCCACCGACGGACTCGGTGGCGAGTTCGGCTTGTCGGTGCTCCGGTACATGCGCAACAACGATGCATAGAATGACGGGTGAATGCGGGCCATTTCCGGTAACTGCAACTTGTGGGCCACCTGGCCAACTCCCTCTAACACCTGGTAAGGTCGAAACTAGAAGGCTGCCATCTTCTGATATGCCCTCCTGAACATTGAGGTATGTCGGTAGGGATGCAGTCGGAGAAGTACCCAATCTCCAACGGCAAATTCCTCTTCTCGGCGTCTAACGTCTGCCAACTGCTTTATCCGGTTATTCGAGGTGGCCACATTCTCCCTCAACTGCTTCAGTGCCCCATCCTGAGCAGCCATCTAACTAACCACGACGTCCACAATGTTGGTGCCGGTCTGGTACCTCACCAATGTCGGAGGTGCGCGCCTATACAATGCCTCAAAGGGAGTCATCTGGATCACCCTATGGTACGTGGTGTTGTACCACAGCCCGTCCCACAACAACATGGCTAACTAGTCGCACGACTTTTGGTGTGCGAAACACCTCAAATACTCCTTCAGATGCTTATTGACCACCTCCGTCTGCCATCAGACCAATGTGGTAGGCATAACTCATCCTCAACTCTGTCTTAGCCAAGGTGAACACCTCCTGCCAAAATTGCCACAAGAATAGTGCATCTCGGTCACTATAATGGACCACGAAAACCTGTGATGCATGATGGCGCCCCAAACAAATTGGTATTCCACAGTCTTGGCTGTGTATGGACGAGCCAAAGCCATAAAATGACAAACTACGTCATGTGACACGAGAGTGTATGAACAAGTCTAACATTAGTCCCAGTGTTAATTTGATTGAAGAAGAGGATATGTTTGCTATGATGACATAAACTGATAGCTGAAGTTAACCTCACAGTAACTTGGATGGAAGGTGGTTGTAACTGCTATGTTCAAGACATACGCTAAAGCCCTTGTTGATAAGAAAGTGTTGTTGGGTGCTGTTGATACCACTATTGTTGTTGGTTCGTGAGTATTTTAATTGAACTTTACCTCTTGCAAGATGTTCACTATGCTAGACGTCTTGATTACTCTTGAGATAAGAAAGAAACTTGTTTGATACTACCTTCTTAACAAGTATGGGTTTCATCAAGATATGTGTGCTAATTTGTATACCTTACTAAGAATGGTAAATTTGAGAGAAAGAGTCATCTAAGTGATAAGATAAATTATTCTCTTTGATTTCAATGTTTGGCATGTGTATCTTTGTCATGTATAGTGGAGAATTTGAGCAACTTTCATCACACTTCCAAACTATCATTTTAATTATTGTGATAAATGTAATTTCTGTAGCCAATCTAAGATAATAAAAACACCCCACAAATAAGTGTTTAGAGAATCCAACCGTTTTTGTTCATTCTCATGTGTGTGAACGTGGTGGGATGTTAACTATGAATGAGAAGGATTACTTCATTGCTTTATTAATGATTGCTCTAATTAGTCTTTCGGTTACAAATGTGATACTCTTGACATGTTTGTTAAAGATTTTTTTAGAATCATTGCAATAGTAAGATTAAAAAATTAGTAGAGCTTATGAATGTGATTTTTTTCTTATTGTGTCGCCATGAGCAAAGAATATAGATTCTATGATTTGAATGCCCATATTATTGTATATTTCATGATGTCAATTTTTGGAGAACGATTTACATTCATATTGATAAATAGTGGGGGTGGTACTACATGCTATTGTGATAAAGGAACTAGTTGGGGTGTTCAATCTGAGTCTGAATTTACAAGAAGAAAACAAATTAAATTCACAAAATATTTTGGTTCTGATTTTGCTATCTACCCTAGAGAAAGATCTTATAAGCCTGCAAAAAGCTCTAACTTTCATAGATGCATATTTGTGGGAAGAAGTCATTAATGATGGAATCGTAATAAGACTTGATATCTTGTAGGCTTACATCCTGAATATAAAGGCATATGTAATAAATGAATTCTGAAATGAAAACTATAACCTTATGGTTCAATTGATAAGTACAAGGCTCGAACAATAGTTAAAGGCTTTAATGTTCAAAAATAGAGAAAATGTAGATTTCTTTAATACATATTCAAGAATATCTAGATTCTAGAATAACATCTATGTGTGTATTGATTTCTCTTGTTGATTTGAATAATGTTGTTGTGCTAGTTGGATGCTAAAATTACCTTTTTTGAGTAGTGATTTAGATAAAAAAATTTACTTGGTACAACCTAAAGGGTTTGTTATTCTTTAACATGCTTTGAAAGTTTATAAGTAAGACAAATCATTGTATGGTTTGAAACATGATACAAAATAGTGACATAAAAAATTAGAAAGTCTAGTTCTCTTTTATGATTTTCAAGTGAATGAAAGTGACAAGAGCGTTTATTACAAAAATATGGATGACACTTGCACTATCATGTGTTTGTATGTGGATGAATATTGATATTTGGTTCAAATATTCATGTTGTCAGTGATGTCTACAATGTTGTGTGGGAACTTTGATATGAAATATATGGATGAAGCTAGTGTTATGCTTGGAACCATATCACTAGGACAAGAAAGGGAGTTTCTATAGATCAATCTGGGTACATAGAAATATATTAATACTACAATTACTTTGATTGTAAGTCTGCGTGTTTGTCGTGTGGTGCTACTATGAACCTTTTCAGGAACACTGGAGACTAGGTAAGAAAATCTGTATATGCTAGCATAATTGGTAGTCTACAATTTGCAGTTGACTACACTAAACCCAACATTACATGTATCTTAGGATTGCTTGGCAGGTTTACTGTTTCTCCTAGTATGATCATTGAAATGCTATTAAAAGGATCATAAGATATCTTAAGAGAACAACAACAT